ATAAAAAAGGTTTATTTGCCATGGGTGAGTCAGATGAGAAACTGGTCAAGAGCAGAGTTCAAATAATTCAGTGCAAATAATATTAGCCATTGATTCAGACCCACATTACCCTTGATGAGTTGTTCTCAATTCCACTTCTTGTTAGTCACAGATGCTAAATAGGTTTGGCAAATTAATGATGAACCCTTAATTTCTCATGTTGCCGCCATTAGCAGTGTGTTACTTGTTGCTTAAGTCTCTTGATATTATTTCTGCACGGCCCCAGTAGAAGAACTGATAGAACAGCGAGTCACAAATCTCCATGCTTTCCCGGACAAATCTCCTGACAATTCTAATTTGTGCCGTTTTCAGAGGAATGACTGGGATTTCCCAACATTATCGGCAATGCCTGGCAGCCGTCTAAAGACTCACAATGAGTAATGGGACCCCACAGATGACAGCCAACTGGGAGCCATTTGCAGTGGGGTCAGGGATCACTTTACTAGCTCTGAACAAGAGGCCTCAGGATAAACATGGGAAGGGCTAAGTGACTCACAGTTTTAGGGCCTTCCCAGCACCCATCTCTAGGATGACTCTATGGGCCGGCTGTGGTTATTTCTTTGTGTTACAATATCACTAGGAGCCCCTCTCCTGACCAGGGCCGTGTTGTGCTAGGTCAGTGGTTCCCAACGGCTGGGCCGCGGATCAGTGCTGGGCTGCAAACCGCTGGCTGCTGGGCCACAGCAGCTGCCAGAGTTCAAGCCGTGGCAGCTCAGCTCTGGCAACCATGGTGGCTGAGGCGGCGGCTGGAGGAGACTGGGCAGGAGACGCCTCCCTCCCCCCATAATAATGGCAGCCGGCCCACCGGGGCACCGCGCTCCTCCCCGCCCCCCTCCTGCGTGGCCACTTTTGCCGGTGGTGGCGCTGGGGTTGAGGCAGTGGAGGTGGAGCAGAAAGTGCCTCCCTCTCTTCTAGGTAATGGTGGCTGGCTGGGGTCCCTGCTCCCCCCCCCCTTGTAGCCATGGGGGTGCAAGATACACTTGGGGAGGGAGGGGGCGCAAAGGAGGAGGCAGCGCACATACCAGTGGCTACCCTCTTGCCCATGTGGCATTAATGGCCACACTCCCTAGGGGAGCAGCCTTGCTCTGGGGAGTGCAGGGGTGAGGTTGGGGCAAAGAGGTGTTAGGTGAGGGCTGGTGGGGTAACAGGGCAAGAAAGTGTTGGCATGGGCTGTGGGGGTCAGAGGTTAAAGGGTCAAAGGATAGAGGGGTGGGGGTCAAAGGGTGTTAGGCACTAGGGAGTAAGGGGCTGGGTAGGGGCTAGGCAGACCGGCAACATTTTATTTGCATATTTGCATATTCAGTATACAAATAATGAATAAGCAAATAAAATGTTGCTGGTCCTAAAGCTGCCAAATGTTTGTGAATGAGTTTGCCAGTCTGTGGCATAAAAATGGTTGGGGACCACTGTGCCAGGTGATGTATAAACACATGGGAGACAAGGTCTCTGCTCAAGAACTTGCAGTCTAAGAGTATGTCTAGACAACATGCCTCTGCCGACAGAGGCATGTAAATTAGACATACCGACATAGTCAATGAAGCGAGGATTTAAATATCCCCTGCTTCATTAGAATAAAAATGGCCACCGCGTTGTGCCGGCTCAGCTGTTTGTCTGCATGAACCGGCAGTCAAGACGGGGATCGGTCGACAAGGAAAGCCTTTGCCGGCCGATTCTGTAAACCTCATTTCATGTAGTCTAGACATATCCTAAGAAACAGGAGTAGTGGTGGCCTCAGACATTAGAAGCACCTAACAGTAGGCTATTGCAGAGGGTAGGGCTCTTGGCGTAGAAGACTGTTTTTCTCCATAGCTCAGTAGTATCTGCCCAGGATCAGGAGCTGCCACCACGTACTTATGCCGTAACACAGAGTGTGCTGCCCTGTGGATCTCCTCCGTCGTGGTCCTGCTGAGCAAGGACACAGAGCATGTGACCTCTTGGCCAGCTTAGCTCTACGGCAGTACAAATGTCAAGCAAGGCTGCTCATTCAGAGAGGCTGTGCCCGTCTTCCGGACCGTGGTTCTTGCTTCCAGCTGCCCTTTATGCTGGTTTGGGCCCCGCTCCACTCTCCTCCACTCTGCAAGGCTGCACTCCGCAGACCCTGCAGACCAAGTTATACAGCCATGCTGATCACAGCCTATGGTATTGTGGTTGTGTCTTTCCAAACTCGGAGGCTCACACTCAAAGATAGGAAGGCACCAAGATGCAGTGTCTGTTGCTGAGAGTTCTGGATCAACGGAGTGGCGTGGCTGACCTGATGTGCATATGAAAGTTGGCCTCTTCCCGCCTCAGTTCCTTTGCAAACAGTTTGCCAGCCCAGCTACTCTGCTGCCATCACACTGAGGCTGCCTGCTTGGGTCCTGTCTTGGCTAATTCTCCAAGTGGCTTGCAGCTGCTGAGGAGCATCAGGTGTGAAGAAATTGAGGCAGGAGGCTCATTTGGTTTTGGCTTGAGGCAGGATGTGCTGATCAGCCAGTGCACCTAGGACTTCTATTCTCAGATCAGCCCAGCTGCTTGTCCTGGACTTCAGGAAATGCCAGATACGCAGGACACAAGGCAGCGTCCATCTGGTGCCTACAAAAGGTGTCTCTTTGTTAATAAAAGCTCACCAGGTCCTCATGTCCTTAATCCAGCTAACCTGGTGCTGCCGTCACGGGATGCTGAGCCTGAAATAACACCTGAGCTGAAAGTGAGCTTGAGATTTGTTCCATGATCACTGAATTTTTAACTGTGAGGCTGGCTGCCAAAAGCAATATTGGGGCAGCTATTCTGTCTTGTCAGGCAAACAAATCTCTCCTTGGCTTGCCATTTAAAAATGTCTCTAGCCTGCATCCCTTCAGTCAAGGGTTTTCTGGATAGACAGAAACATCAGGCAGGGATGAGGGAGTCAGAATTGTCCTCTTGTCCCCAGACCTTTCACTTTGATTCTGTATCAGCCAGAACTTGGTTTGCTTTTAAACATGGCAGTGGCTTTTTGGGGGGGCGGAGGGGCGGCGCCGGGGTTTGGAGAGTGAAAGGGTTAATCCCCCCTTTTTGCCCTGCAGAAGGCAGTGGGTGGGAAGAAGGACCGCTCGCTCTTCCTCTTCACGGACCTCCTCGTTTGCACCACCCTGAAGCGCAAGTCGGGGTCTCTGCGCCGCAGCTCCATGAGTCTGTGAGTAAAGCAGCGATCGACCTGGAGAGAGGGTCAGGGCTCGCCCAGTGAAGTTGCCAGTCGCCATGGTGATGGGGGCCACATGCGCACGCCTGGAGACAGCTGCTTTCACCCCACCCCAACCATCCCTGAGCAGTTTGAGCTTTGCTTGGATTTCTCAGGGTCCAGGCCTGGGCGCAGGGGCACCAAGGAGTGGGGGCACAGCCCAGTCACAGGGTACAAGGTCCTAGCCACTCCTCTGCCCGCCCAGACGGCCCTGTCTCGCACCACTTTGAACCCAGTGACCAAAAGTGAGTGTCCCTCGCTAGGGATGTAAAATCCCATTTAATTAGTTAACTGGTTAAACATTATGTTTAACTGGTTAACCGATTAAATGGGGGTGAGCTGGAGCAGGCGGGCAGCGGGTGGGTCTGCTCCAACCCCTGCCGGTTAACCATAATCAGCAAATGTTACTGGTAAGAGTGATGCTTTATGGGTTAACCAGTTAACCATTCAGATCCCTGCTCACAACCAGACGAGACGGGACTGCAGGGCCAGGGTCCAAAAGGAAATAACCTGTCCCCACACCTCCACCTCCACCCCCTTTTCCATCTCGCTCCGTTCCCTCTTGTGGCTTGGGAATCATGTTGATCCCGTTGTACAACAGGCAGGGAGCTCCCCAAGGGAGACCCAGCACTCTCCCTGATTGGCAGGCCCTTTGGGACCAGCACCTGGGATCTGTGATGTTTGGTCGGTGAAGCCCGGTTCCCTGGGTTGGTTCTCACCCCGTTTGGATGGTGGCTCTTTATAAGAATCCAAACACTGTCGAGACTGAAGGGCCCCAAGGGAGAACTGCCCTATGGGGCTGTTCTGTGGGTACCCATGCCAGGCGCTGGCTCCAGTGGGGCACAAATGGACCACTCCAGCCTTCTTCCCCTTACACAAGATTTATTTGGAGCAGGGCAGGTGAACTATACATGCCCTCCCCGAGCAGAGCCTGTCTCGAAACGTACTGGAAAGGCCCAATCATGCCACTGTAAAGAGGCACCTCTTATCTGCCCCAAGCTGCTGCAATGAGAGAGGATTGGAGGGAGTCCTCTCTCCCTGGGAAGAGCCAAATCCCTCTTCACCAGCCCCACCCTAGAGCCCGGACCCCCAGACACAGTCCTCACCCCCTCACACTCCAACCCTGTGTCCCAGCCCTGAGCCTCCTCCCACACTCTGAACCCCTCATCCCCACTTGCCACACACACCGTCCATGTGCAGATTGAATTTCGTTCTGTGCACCAGTATGGATGGGAGGTATCACACTTAACAAAATTCATTCCTCACATCGACATAAAAAATTAGAGGGAACACTAAGTGAGACCCAGGCATTCTGATTAGCCTGTGTGGGGTGGGGGATCCTCTGGAGTCCCCCAGCAGTGCCCCAGAGTGAATCCTCAGGGGCTATTGCATCAGCCCCCTCCCCATGCACACGCACATGTCTGTCTGTTGGAGTGAATCAGACTCACAGACTTGATACTGTGCTGAGAACACTCTGTGCCATGCAGGATGGGTCCCTAATTGCCCATCCAGGGACGTCAATTTTCCTTTCTCCTCTCTGTTTCCCATTCTCTTTCCCCCTTTCATTCCCAACCCCCCACAGCTGGCCCTTTGGCCACAGAGGGGAACCGCGCCCCTCTCGAATGTGCCATGAGGGCGGGGGAATCGAAAGGGTGACTATAGCTCACTGGGCGCTCTGCCCATCACGCTGAGGCCCTTGGAACGTGTGGGAAGTCTGAGCAGGGGCTGAGGAATAACTCAGCTGGGATCCCCCAGAATGCTAGCACCAAAGCCAGCCTTGTTCTCCATCCTACCTCCGGTGACTCTAAATGCTTTGCCCATCCACAGTGTGCCAGGCCTGGGCGCTGTGCTCCCGTGAGCACACAGGGATGTGACCCAAACTTCCCCGAGTTCTGAGCTGGAGAAAAGAGATGGGTGTGATGCACGCTGGGTCCTTCCTGCTAAGACAACCCAGCTGCCAGGGCTATTTTTAGACCCTCCAGCTCTTCCTGTGTTAAGCATGACTCTCTCACTTGCTACCCTCACCATCTAGTGGTCACTGTCAAGACTGCAATCCTTGAATTCATTCATGTCTCTCTTTCAGTTACACGGCCGCCAGTGTTATAGACACAGCCAGCAAGTACAAACTGCTCTGGAAATTGCCCTTGGAGGATGTGGACATTGTGAAAGGTCTGTACTGACATTATCAGCCATCATTTCTATTGCAGCCTGCCCAGAAGCCCCAGTCAAGATCAAAGCCCTGGTGTGCTTGGCGTTGCACAAACAAAAGAAAAATGTCTATGCCCCAAAGTGTTTACTAAGGCTATGTCTAGACTGCAGGCTTCTTTCGAAAGAGGCTCTTTCGAAAGCATCTTTCGAAAGAGCCTCTTTCGAAAGATCGCGTCTAGACTGCAGGCGGATCTTTCGATAGAGGAAATCCGCTTTTTCGAAAGAGAGCACCCAGCGAGTCTGGATGCTCTCTTTCGAAGACGGCCTCTTTACATTGTAGAACGCCTTCTTTCGAAAGAGGAACTTTCGAAAGAAGGCGTTCTTCCTCGTGAAACGAGGTTTACCGCCATCGAAAGAAAAGCCGCGTTCTTTCGAAATAATTTCGAAAGAACGCGGCTTGAGTCTGGACGCAGGGGAAGTTTTTTCGGGAAAAGGCTACTTTTCCCGAAAAAACCCCTGAGTCTGGACACGGCCTAAGTGTGCCACCTTCAGGAGTAACCTGCCTGTTACAGCAGCGAGGAGTCCCGTGGCACCTTATAGACTAACTGAAGTGTAGGAGCATAGGCTTTCGTGGGCAAAGACCCACTTCGTCAGATGCATGTAGTGGAAATTTCCAGAGGCAGGTATAAATATGCATGTAAAATGCTGTAGTAGTGCTGTGTTGGGCCACATTATTCCAGGGACAGATTTGTTTGCACCTCACTCTGCTCAGCTGTTTTACAGTAATCTTCAAAATCTGCATATTTATACCTGCCTCTGGAAATTTCCACTATATGCATCTGACGAAGTGGGTCTTTGCCCACGAAAGCTTATGCTCTTACACTTCAGTTAGTCTATAAGGTGCCACAGAACTCCTCGCCGCTTTTGCAGATTCAGACTAACACGGCTACCCCTCTGATACCTGCCTGTTACATTGGCTCAGGGGCAAAGTGTCCCTCATCTGGTCAGGTCATGCTGAGCGAAGCTCCATCTAGCAACTCCCCCATGTAAAGTGCTGTAGTAGTGCTGTGTTGGGCCACATTATTCCAGGGACAGATTTGTTTGCACCTCACTCTGCTCAGCTGTTTTACAGTAATCTTCAAAATAGCATAAACATTTAAATAGCTGAGAAACCTCTTGTTCCCCAAATGCTACAGCACCCAAGCCTCAAATAGCTCCAGAAATGCAATTCCTACTAGTGTTTTGTGCTCTATTTGTAGTACATTTCAGTATTCTTACAGGGATCTGCAGACAATGACTCACTCAGTTACTGAGTTAAATACGGGCTACATCTGTACACCACGGCCCTCTGCTGGTTAGGCTCAGGACCTCTTGACTGTGTGTCATAAGCTCTCTCCTGCTAGCAGCTTGGTGGAGAGTCTTCGTTAGCTCAAGCGGCAAACCCCTGTGCTTTCGAGGCAGGAGGATCAGAATTCTATTGTGGTGATGTTCCCAGTAGCTGTGGTTTGCAGCCTAGCAACAGTCAGCCTGTGACACTTTCTGTTCCTTAGCAACAGATGCACACTAAATAGCTGACCCATTCAGCACATTTCCTATTGAGCTGCGGAAAGCAGTAGAAAATAGACAGTTGGGAAAGTCTGTTGCAACAACCCTACGTCTCATAGGAGCACATGTAAGATCCTCTAGGAAATGTCAGCAGAGGATGGAGGAGGCAGCCTAGCAAGCCTTTTCCATCGGTTACTTTTTTCAAGTCACACCTGTGTCAAGGCTCCTGGATCTCTCGTCTTCCTACCCAGCCAGCACAGGCTGATACAGGGAGACCTCTGTGTTCCAAACTGGGCCACTGCTGGGCAGAGCAGGAATAAACGGCAAACTGTGTAACAGGCTGTGGGCCAGGATCTCCCAGAAGGCTCAGGCCAGGCAGTGGGAGGCCAAAGGGGCACTGAAGCATGAGGTGATGCACACCCTGTACACAGGCTGCTCTACAACCCTGAATAGCACACAGCTCACCAGCCACTCCCACCCTTGCCCTGGCCCAGGGGATATGGGGAGAAGTGTCCAAGGGGCAAGAAGGGGAGTGGCAGGGAAGGGCCATAGCAGGGCCCAGAATCTGGCCCTATATCCCTCTACAGCCCTTATGGGAATAATCACAGGTATCTGTGCCTCAAGGCCCCAGGCCTCTCGCCAGTGCCCAGCCTGAGTAACTCAGCTGGCGAATGCAGAGGAGTCCTGCCCAGACCCCAGGGTGGGAGCAGAGCTGCTCCCAGTCCTTACCCCAGTGTAATTGCTTCCTAGCTGCTTCAGTCCGAGTGAGTTGGGGTGGGAGGCCTGGGGGGGCAGCTGGCCCCCCTGGGCCAGGGCTCCTGATGGTGTAAACACATTTATCCTTTGGCTCCAGAGAGTGCATCAGCTCCTGCATCAGTTTCCCTCCAGGATCGAGTGCTGCGAGCAGGCCCAGGCAGCCGAGAGGGGATGACTCACCGAGCCATGGGCCCTGATGACTCTAGCAGGGGCTCTGCCGTGTGGGAATCGCTCTATGCATGAGAACCCAGCCCTCACGATGAGCAGAGCCAGCTGGCTGCTGTGTGCAGCAGTGCTCTGCAGACGCTGAGCGTGGGAGAAAGGGGGAGTGTCGGGCGGCCTGACGCCCATCACAACATCCCTTCACAACCCCAGAGTGCCCCGGCACGGACGCTCCGTGAGCAGTGACGACCCAGGCTCTCTGGGTCACATTCACCCCCATGCAGGCCAGCACAGGGTACGGGCACCATCAGCTGACCCACTGAAAAACCTCTTTCTGGCTGACCTTCATGATCCAGGCATGCCCTCCCCAGCTCCTGGACAAGCCAGTGGCCTCAACGCATACCTAAGCGGGCCTTTGCACTGGGATGAATTTCACCCATGTAGCACAGCGAGCACCTCAACCTCTAACGGGGCTGGAGGAGCAGGTCCGGTCCCAGGCCTGCAGAGCAAGGTAGCCCCAGGAGGTCCCTAGAATGGAGGTGGAGGCAGCCAGCCCATTTGATTTATGCTGGGGGCTGGTTAGAGATGCGGCGGGAGCCAGAGAAAGGGGGGTGCACCCTGAGGCCAGACAAGGCTGAGTCCGAGATCAGCTATACAGCACCCAGTCACCTAGCAGTCAGTGTGGGAGGAGGGACTCCTGCCGGGAGAGCCCCGTCTGACCCTTCCAGCACAAGCTGCTGGAGAACAGGAGGAGAGCTGTGGGGAGACTCTAGCGAAGCTCAGTTTGTATGTGGCAGTGGAGAATCCAGGGGGGAAAGGGTTAAATGAAACACTGAGCGAGGGCAGTACCATGATCAATGCTCCCTGTAAGTTGGGTGCCTGTGCAGTTGCTCAGGAGAGATTCAGATGCCGCCCGGCTGATGAACAGAGCACCCACAGTTGGGTTGTTTGGTTTCTCCTGGTGGTGCACATTCACACATGCCTCGGTGCACATAAAATGTATTCCGCACATGGCTGGAAAATACCCGACCGTGGGCCGAAAAGACTAGAAGGAACATTGATCCCTCCTGCCCCAGCCACTACCTCAGCCCCTGTTGCTCTGTTTGCCACACAGGGGCCTCCCAGTCCACCAACCGCGAGAGCATCCAGAAGACGATCTGCCGCCTGGACGAGGACCTGAGCACTCTGGGCCAAGTCAGCAAGCTCTCTGAGACCCTCAGCTTCCCCCACCAGGTGAGAGCGGGGCTCCTTGCAGGGACAGCCGGGGCTCTGGTTTAACCATCTCCCGGGCTCAGCTAGCATCAGCCCTGTCCAGCCACTGCAGGAGACGACCCATCCTGCGGCACCCTGGAAATACTGCTCCTTGGACAAGATCGCACCCCGGTGTCCCGTGAGGTCCCCAGGGGAGAGCTTGACCTGGTCCCCCAGCAAGGGCTCATCCCCTCTCCCCCAGCTTCACTGAGCGCCCAGTGCCCCCTATAAATTTGTATAAACATCCTGGCAGCTGCTTTGCCAAGTGATGTGGCCTCCCTTCTTCGGCTGCGCTCAGCAGGCAGCACATGCAGTTAAATCCTACCTGGCCCTTTCCTGTGCTCCCTCTGCCCTGCTGGAGGTATCCCAGGCCAAGGAGAGGGTTAATGGGGCTGGTCAGGAAAGGGGGCAGGTAAGATTCTGATATGCAAAGGGATGAGGGAGGCTGCTTTAAAAGCCAGCAGGAGCCATTGTGAACATGAGGTCTGATCTCTCCCCATGCTGTCTGAGCACTCCCATGGATTGTATTAGGAATACACCTAGACTTTGTCTACACTGCCAGCTTTGCCGGCAGTGCCTAAGCAAATGAAGCGCAGATTAGCATTTTGCCATGCTTCATTTGCATAATGTATTCAAGCCATTTTTGCACAAAAACAAGCAGTGTGAATGCGGGGGTTTTGCGCAAAATGGGAGGGTTGCACCAAACCCCCCCCCCCCGTCCACACTGCTTGTTTTTGCGCAAAAACGTCTTGAATAAATTATGCAAACGAAGCATGGCTAAATGCTAATCCGCACTTTATTTGCATAGGCACTGCTGTCAAAGCTGGCAGTGTAGACGTAGCCCTAGAGCATGGGCAGTCAGTGCCAGTGAGGGGACAAGACTCTGGACACATACACAACTCACATGAAATTCACTGAACAGTATTAACA